GATCGATTACACGGCTTGAGAAATTGAATGCCAAGCCTTAAACCCTGCACCCTAACACCGCAAAGTCTGTCCAGGCTAGACCGTACTCACCCTTTTCTAGGGTCCTGGGAGTAGAGGACATCCGCCGGTGATTTACACTACGTTGCGGGATGGACAAAGGCATTGGTGATAGGAAATCTTAGAGGAACCCTTGTAGGACCCTCAAGGCCAAGACCCTCCTGAGGAGTATGCCGTCTCGCACCTGCAGCGCCACGACCTCTACAGCGAGGCGTCGTTCCTTTGAAGGGCTCCTTTAAGGCTTCTGTAAGCTTACTAAAGGGGGTTGAGGGTATAGGGGTTAGGGTTTGGCAGTTTAAGGGCTTGCGAGTTCCGCGGTTTGGGAATCAAGGGATTTAGGACTCAAGGTTTCGGGTACAATTTTTCAGGTCTGGGGACAGCGATCCATCAGATATGACAAACGGGAGTCGAAGGGTTACTACGAGGTTATAAACCCTACACCCCAAACCCCTAAATCCTAAACCCTAAACTATACTACAGGGGCATACTATAGGAGTCATAGGTTTTAGAATAAGGCTTGAAGGTTCATGGGGGAGGAGATGATAGGGGCTTATTATAAGCAGGTTAATATGATGGCTACCATAAGGGTTCTAGTTTAGGGCAGTTTAGGCAGTGGTGTTTGAGTAGCTCGACTGCAGCTGTTCTGGACTGTAGGGCTAGATTGCTGATGAGTTGAGTTCTGAGTAAGGCAGGCATCATGTAGCTACAAGCAGAAGTTGAGTCTCAATACGATGTAAGAGTTTCATTTCTAGTTCCCTGGTAATTACTGTCCTCAACGCATGTGCTCACCAAATCCCTCAGGAGCCCTATACACTTGCCAAACCCATTAAAGTAAACCCCACTTCACAACACTTCACTCGCTTCGTCCTTGTCAACACCCACCTCCTAACCACCAAAAGCGTAAATCGAAGCCCCGAGCCCGGAACCCTAAACCCTTTAGGGTTTAGCGTTTAGGAGTTTAAGCTCCAAGTCCTTTGGCCAGTGAGCCTTCACAACCAGCCCCTGAACGCCTGATCTTCGACAGTCCTCCTGAACCCAGAATGTTGATATTGGGCTTGCTGCTTGTTGCACTGTAAGAAAAATGTTGAGGAATGGTATCGGTATTCATCCAACCTCTATGTTATGTGGCTCATGCACAAGAGGCGGGCGCAAAGTTGTTATTTAGTTGCGTTTGATGCTGGGTGACGTCCAGGCCCAGATCATGAGGACGGCATTCATGTCATGGAAATTCCTGAAGCGCAGATGTTACACAAGTTCCATTCAGCGTTTGGAAGCGAGGCGGCTCGCTGGCTGAGCTGTTGTTGTTTGTGAATGCAGGCAAGATTCAAACGTGGATGTCGTCCCCGTGGCATGTTCTGGGGTGAGATGAGAATGTTGGATACCGTGCCTGAGAGGGCACCCCCGCACAGCACGTGAAGATATTTCAGCAGTTTCTGCTTTTCCAAGATGTCAGAGGGTTTTTCCAAGGTCCAAGCTTTTAAAACGGGCTTGAAAGGATTTTATCATTGTTTTCCCCTAAACCGTATTTAAACTTGAAACCCTGAAACCCCAAACTCCAAACCCCAGAAACCCTAAACCCTAAACACTAAATCCCTAGACCTTGAATCTTAGACCCTCAACCCTAAACTCGCCCATGTGCAGACGGAAAAAGGTGCTTTAACAAAAAAAAATTCGCCCATGGGAGAGGCTGGGCGCAACTGGCGCTACAACTTCGGCCCTCGCCTAGGACGTGGCTCCTTTGGTGAGGCACCCAGAGATCCCAATACCCCTTAATTCAGGAATGTACCTTAAACTACCGGGGGCTCAATATTATGATTCAAGGTACATTCCTTAATTAAGGGGTATTGGGATCTCAAGGCAGAGTTTGGGGTTTAGGGTTAGGGGTTGAGGGTTTAGGGTTTATAGCCCGGAGCCATCCCCAATGCATCGCGAGTTTAGGTTTATCACTGGGGTTCACGGTTGAATCCAGGGGTCTCTCAATAGCTCCCAGTATTGACCCTAGAGTCCTAGAGGTTCCGATTTGCATATCATATACCTCAAGACCATGTTCGAATCATTAAGCCCCCAATCTTAGGGTTCCGTGCTGGGCTTCTGGGCTAAGGCTGGCCTAAACCCTCATAGCTCTAAGCTCCCGACTTTTTTGGGGGGTTGGTGGAAGGTTATGTTCGTTTTTACGGTATTGTTTAGGATTTAGGACCTCGAACCTTAAGCCATAAAGCCGTAAGCCCCAAGCCCTTGAATGGCTTGGGGCGTACAACGCTTGCTTGCATACTATGCCCGAATCCTAAATCTCGAAGCTCACTTGTGGGAATTTTCGGATTGCAGTTTGGGATACCCAGAGGCCCCAAAGTAGTTCCTTTTGGGATTATCTATATAATATTGATTCTATATACCAACTCCAAAAAGGAAGTACCTTGGGGCCTTTGGGTATAGTCGAGAAGCCCGGATCATGAGTAACATTCAACGTTGCTTGAGGTCTGACCGTGACTTAGAACACGCCCTGACGCCTCGTCAAATGGAGGGAAACCCAGTCACAACACGAGACCCTACTTGGAGGGTCGGGAGACTTAGTAAGGAGCTATTCTGTAGACTTATGAGTATCACAACCCCAATTGGGGCCCCTTCTTAGAGTACTTATAAGTCTACTTATTACCTACTCACTAAGTCCCCCGACCCTCCGAGTAGCCCCTATAAGCCCTAAGCTTTGAATCCTCAGCGCCAGAGCACGCCGCAAGTGTCCAGGCCTGGCGCGCTGTGACGCTGGATGGTTCCATGAAGGTCGCAGCCTGCACTAAAATTTGTAGGCTTTCGGGAAGCAGTTTGGGGTGCCGAGTGTGGGACTCTAGTAATTGTAGGGCTTAGGTTGGGGGACTGCCCCGACTCTGGAAACAGGAGGTGGTCTTGAAGCGTCTCTTCGTTGAGAAGGGCGAGCACGTCAGGAGGCAAGCGGGGGCAGGCGGGAAGACTCGCGCAAATCCGCACGCCTGGGACCAGGTTTAGGGGTTCGGGTTTGTTAAATCTACAGTAGAAAGCCAAAAAGTTGGAAACCCAATAGCCTCAATCCCTCCAAGTAGTGTATAGGGTTCGTTAGATCTAGCCCGACCCTGCCGCCGCGACGGCCCCAACACCTGGAGCCTTCATTCCGAAACTTGCAAACCCTAAACCCTAAACCGTGAGCCTCAAGGCCAGACTTTTGCCGAGGGCTTGGGTGTGGGTTTGATTCCCCGGTCGTCTGGTCGTCTGGATATCCCTTTTGGGATCATATTACCTACTATACACTGAAAGTGTACACTTTTTGGGGCTTATGAACTCAGCAACTAGGTAATCGCAGTGACGGTTAGTAAGAGATACAAGTTGATAGGGTAAAGTCGTGTCGTGTTCGCTTGAAGAGTGATCGTCGTAGCATATCTAATGGGTTGTGGTGAGGCTTTACAGTCTTTGTTCGTTGTTAAACGTGTCGATAGCTTTGGCACACACATCGATTCGTGGGGACGTGAAACAAAGCATTCAAGCCGTTGGAAATGAAAGAGCATTCGTTTCGAGGCCGAGGGTTCGGGATTTTGGAGGAGAATACTGAACCTTGAGCATGGACATCTTAATTCTCGGACCTAAGCCTTAAGCAAGTCTAAGCCTTGGTTCGAACTCCTCTAAACCTGCCAAGCCTGCAGCAGGAGTGGCGAGCGAGAGATCTACTTCGGCACCCTCTTGCAGCTTCTTTGGTGCACTGAGTACTGACATGAACACGGGACTTTTTTAGCCCGCTTTGAGTGAAGTTATTGGCACCCTGACTGGGGGTTAGCTTACTGATAGCTTACGAACTCTAAGACTCTATGTGGGTGCTTGTCAAAATTACGGTCCCTTTCCGGATCCCTAAAATAGTACGCCACCTCATATTTAGGGTACCCAAAAAGGGTGCCATAATTTTGACAACCACCCATATATAATGCACTTGCTATTGCTAGGTGCCCGGAGCCTGCAGGGTTGGGGTTCAGGGTCCTACTTAAAGGATCATGGAACCTAGTAACTAGGGTTATAGTTAGGGTAACTGTTAACTATACTCATAACCACTTATAACCCCCGTTAAGGTACGTTATGAACTTACTTACTAGGTCCCAAGATCCTCTAAGTACGGTTCTAAGCGCACGAAGCCGTTGCTACAGGCGTTGAGGTTGTAGGTCGGAGGGTTGGGTTGCGTGTGGCTTTACAGATTAAGGCTTGCGAGCTTTTAGGTTTAAGGCTTCAGGTGCTTTGTGGCCCTTACGCCACAACTCAGGCTCGCAGAGGTTGTGAGTCGAAGTGCAGGATTAATATAGAAGCCTGAAAACCCCTAAACCAGGAACCCTGAAGCCCTGAACCCTACATCGATGTAATCTCCTAGGGCTGCTGCTTCTATTTGTCGGCGTAGACTATACCATAAAACCTTGTTCGAGCTATTAAGGTGCAGGAGCTAAGGGCTGGGGGCATTGATCAGGCTTGAGGGCAGTTCGGCTCCTCAAAGTGGTTACTTTGGCGAGCCGCATGCTTTTTCCAGGGTTTAGGGTTTAGGGAAACTCGAGACCTTTTGCATTATTTGGGGATACAGATACAGTGAGGTCGGGTTGTGGATGATGCTTGCAAAGGTTTGGGTTTTCGGGGTCTGAGGTTTTAAGTTTCGGGTTGCGACGAGTCGAGGGCCATCCCGCCCCCGCTCGTTGAGACACGGCCCGGAACGGTTTAGGGTTTAGGGTTCTTCAATCTACACCTTAGCCCCGAAGATAGCCCAGGAACCGGCATCACATCGCGAGGTTGGGCCGTATTTGCTTGTTGTTTCGCCTTTGTGCTGCACTTGCGTGTCGTGGATCCTCACGTCGAGACCAAGAATCCCCAATACTCGAACCACTAGCCGCAGCTTTCTCAGCCCAATCGATTCTATTGACGTTTGAGTACCGGGGATGTGCTAGTGCATGATCATCGCAGGCTCCATCTTCAAAGCTTGTTTTGTACAACCTGCCATGGACGTCAGGGTGTTGAGGCTGAATGGAGAAGAAGTGGCGACTGTACCGCTTGATGCAGCTGCGGATGTCAGAGCTCTGAAGCATGCGATTGCAGAGATCGACGGCACACCCGCGATTTTGCAGCAGCTTATTTGGAAGGACCAGCCACTGGATGACTCTGCGCAGGCCCCACTGTTGGCAGCGCAGCTTGATGCCAGTGCACCAGTGATACTGGTGAAGAAGGACCCGGGATATCGAAGCTATTCCCCAGAGATCCCAATACCCCTTAATGAACGACTATAATTACATCAAATCGTAATATTAAGGCCCCTATAGGAGTGCTGGACTTTCTGGTTTACGTTCGAGGATTGGGTTCCTGTCAAGGTATCCAATCAACACGGAAATGCACGGTTTAGGGTTTAGGGTTTAGGAGTAGCACTGTATTAAGGCAGGACGGAGTGAGTGTGCATTCACAGTTGCGAGGGGGTGCTCACGTTAGGTGATTTTGTTTGTGCAGTTGCTCGCACGTAGTCCCCTTGGCTTGGAAAGTTGAAGTTGCACGGTCGTTTCTCAGACTACTCAAGGACTTGGTGCAGACGCAGGATGCTGAGGCCAAGAAGCTTATCGGCCGATACGGCAGCAAGTATCGGCCTCAGCATCACTTTTTTTGGGCCGTCCACGAGGGAAATGTCTTAGCCACGGGCGGCCTCCTTCGATTGCCGGGTGTTGATGTCGATGGAGAAATGTTGCCCACGGATTTTGACGATGCGAAACGCCAGCATGAATGGCCATACAGGAGCTTCGACGGCCGATACGAGGACCGAGCGCTTCATTTGGCAGTTCGCTGCCGTGATGAGGCGGGTGTTCTCGACGGCCAAATTGAGTTTTGCTGTTGCCCTCCCAACTTTGGCGGTTTCAGATGCAGCCTCCACATGTCCATGAACAAGTGTCCGGTACAACCCCTAAGCCTTGAACCCTGAGCAGCCTGAGGCCGAAGCCCTAAGCCCTAAACCCGTATCGATCCCGATCAAAATTTTCGAAAACTCTGGCAGGAACCCTTGAAGGAGCCTTTAAAGCAGCCCCTCAAGGAACCCTTGAAGGTAGTCCTTAACGGAGCCCCTGAAGGAGCCCTTAAAAGAGCCCTTAAAGGCATCGGTGGAGCTGCTCCTCAGCTGTCGAGCGGACCCAGAGCTCCGCAACGACAACCGGGAAACCCCGATGGATATTGCAATGGGCCGCTAGGGGCCTGGTTAAGGGTTATAGCAGGGTTTAGGGTAGGGTTCTAGAAGGGCTTAGGGTTCTGTCGGGGTGTAGGGTTCTAAATACTTTTCTGCGAGGCTTTCGGGTTGAAGGGTTTAGTGCTTTCAGCGCTTTCAGGTTTCGAATGGTTCTAGACTCTTTGCTAATAGCGGCTGTACTAAGGGTGTCTAGAAGGGAAAGGTCCTGTAAAGGGTAGTCTATGGGTTGCTACCAAGGTTAGTTTCTAGGGTTTCGGGTTCCTTTAAAGGGTACTACAAGGGGATCTATAGGGTTTAGGGTTTAGACCTTGGGACCTAGACTAGGCCCATATTCCCTTTTTTCAAGGTTCAGGTTCCCTTATAAGCCGCTTGAAACCAAAAAGGGCACTTTTGTTGTTCCTATTGTTCCCAGGTTACTCTTGGGTCTAGGTTTCTGGAAGGAGACTGGGAAAGACTTTGGGGTTTACGGTTTTGGGATTGGGGCTGAGGGCTTACGGCTCGGGTTCACAGGGATATCGCTTAATAAAGGAATGCCCTAAACTCCGCGCATAGAGCACTGTATTATTTCTGGTTTCATGTGCCAACCCAGGGAAGGGCAAGCGATGGAAAAGTGCATTTATGCAGCCGCGGGACTTTGGTGGTTCCCCGGAACCTGGGTCCTTCTTAGCATAATGGGCACACGTAGGACATCATATGCTTTCCTTAGTATGGTAACTTGACACCCTAACGCCTAATTTCCTTAGTATTGCTACCATACCTACATTCCGAAACCCTAAACCCTAAATCCCTAAACCATAAACCTTGAATCCCTAAATCCTAAACCTTGAATCCCTGAATCCCTAAATCGCTAAGCCCTAAATCCATAAGATCCGTAGCAAGAAACCCAGGAGCGCATCCTGGAGCTACTTCGCGGTGCCTCTGGAAGGTGATAACTGTCAAAGGGGAAAAGGAGGGACCCTTAATGGGGACCCTTACCCTATAATGGGCTATATAACGGGTATACAATTGCTATATTAAGGGTATATACCCAGGGGTCCTTATTAAGGGTCCCTCCTTTCACCCTTGGAAACTGGGGTGGCAGTCGACCTTGGAAGCTGGAAAACGTGAGCTCGCTGGGAGTCTGGAGAGTAGATTAGGGTGCAGGGTTTCGGGTCTACCTTAAGGCTCCTCGACCGTTGTAGTGAGATCCCCAACCCTAGCCCCCAAAGCCGAAACCCTCCCCCAGAAAGCCCAAGACCCTCTTAGGAGCCTTGGGGTAAAACCTAAACACTAAACCCTAAAACCCTAGGGTGCCCTAAAGGACCCTAAACCCTAAACCCCTGAACCCTAAACCCTAAACCCTCCTATTAGGAGCCTTAAGGTAGGGTTTAGGGCGAGGGTTGCGTTTTCACCGGGCTTTGGGTCTGTCTGGTCCTCGCGCAGTGTAACATCAAACCCAAAGCTCTGAAACTCTAGGACTCCAGAATCCTCAAGGTTTAGGCAACGGGTTACAGGGTTGAGGGCTTCGGGTTGAGAAAGGGGATGCCTACTTGGAGGTTAATGGGTAGTTATAAGTGGAGCTATTAGTCCCCTAATATGGGTTATACTTACGGTTACCCTACTTATAACTCCGCTTGTAACTACCCATGAACCTCCAAGTATCACCTCATTAAACCCTAAACTTTCTGTGCACGTACCCGGAGGCTTCGGCTTGGAGTTTCACCTCAGGGCTATATCCCACCAGCCCACAGGCTACACAGTAGTTCCGTTTTGGGTTTACCTTAAGGATCCTAAATATAAACCACCAAAACGGAATTACTATGGAGCCTGCGGGCAATAACCCTAGACCCCAGACCCTCAACGCAGGATGTTCAGGTCTAAAGTTTTCAGAGTCTGGGGGTTTCAGGGATCCAGTTCTCAGGCTGTTGGGTTTTGGGGCCTGGGGTTTCTTATTTCAGGTTCTGGGTCCAGGGTTTAGGGTTTAGGCTTCAGGGTTTAGGGTTTAGGATTCGGGGTGTCGGAGCTTTGGGTTTAGGAGTTTAGGATTCGGGGTTTGACGAGCAATTGCACCCCCCGCCATCATACGCCCATCATGCGGATTCGGGATCATGACATGATTTCCAACCAGGAAGCCTCAACTTGTTCAGTGGGTTTTCGTGTATGGGAGTACCTTATTATGGGGTCCTTATAATAAGGATCCTACTATTTAGGGTACTAGATTGGGGTCCCCTATTTCCGGAAACCCCTGTATATTGGACAATTAAGTGCTGGGTGTTGTACGGATTGCGGTTGATGATATCAATCCTGCATTACCCAGAATACGGAATCTACCATAATTGCCATAGTCTAGGGCCAGTAAGATAATGCGGGATTTATATCATCAACCCTAAACCCTACACCCTAAACCCCTGCACCCTAAACCTACACCCCTAAACCCCTATCCTACACCCTTAAGCCCTGAACCCTAAATTCAGGATGTATATCATGAACCGTCGCATGTCCACCCCGAGCCCACAGGGATCGCCTCATCGAGATCCTCGCAAGAACCCTACCCTGCAGAAACAGTTTGGGTTTAGGGTTTAGGGGTTTAGGGATTCAGGGGGTTTATGGATTTTAGGGTTTAGCGGTTTAATGGTTTAGGGGTTTAGGGTTTAGGGGTTTAGGGTTTGGGGTTTAGGGTTTAGAGGCACATCCGTAGGCTCTTGCGGGTTCTCGATGAAAGTTCTCCAAGAGTCCTATGGGAACTCGTGGCTGGAACCTTTTTGAACCGCTGAGACATTGCTGGGAAGGCTTGGGAAGCAGTAGTGTCAAGAGGTGTCACGTATCATCAGCGCGAGCTGCAATACTGTAGTATACTGTGCATCATCGTCATGGTATCAGAAACAGTGTGTGCCGTGCCGAAGTCACCTTGGTTACCACAACAACAGCCAGCAGCAAAGAGATCATGGCACCAGTCTACAAGAAACTGTCGTAATGCCAGTAGTACTGACAACAGTGGCAGACCAGCAATAAATCGCAAGAACCGTCAAAACACCGGGACGGGTCATTGTCACCAAACCGAAACCGTACCTCCAAATCCTAAACCACAGCCGTAGATCTTACGCCGCAGCCCGACATGCTGCATCCCCAAGCCTGAACATGAACTCGGCATCCGAACTGCTACGACCCCTCGAAAGCCACATACACACCCGGGTGCAACCTTGCTACAGCCAGGTAAAACCAGAAGATCCGAAACAAAAAACATGCACGGAACGGCAGGTTCCTGGAGTCATTCGAGCAGGTTGACCTCAGTGGCGACAGCCGCAAGCACGCCAGGGCCCCGGAGCCATCTCTGAGTGTTCATAGGGTTCAGTGTGCAAGGGTTAGGGCTTATGGACTTGAGGGCTTGAGGGGTTTAGAACGTAGGGTTTTACGTTTCAGTGCAGGCTTCCTAGGCTGTTGGTCGTTTGCCGGACACATAGCAGTTGCGGCAGGTGCTCTGTCGAATTTGACAAGAACCACTCTGACCCTAATCCTGAGCCCTAAACCTTACCCTGAGCCCAACAACCTTTAACACAAAACCTAAACCTAACGCCAGATTCGTGATTCGCGCTGTTTCGCGCTAACACGCGCTAGTGTGCGCTAATCCTGACTATAAGCCCCTATAGATATCAACCTAAAGAATGCTGATGTTTTGTACTGTGGCTAGGTGGCCAGTTGCAGGGTGTGGGGGACGCTTGTCTCCACGTGCCTCCATCATGTGGAAACTGTTCGGGGTCTTGGCTGGTGTTTTGGTTGTCTTTAGTTTCGCCGACTTACTGAAACTGCCTTCGCCGTGGTCGTCGGACCGTTTGTTGGGCTTTGGGCTTACACATTCATGCACATGCATACCCAGGCACACCTGCATGCATGGTCCCTCCCGTCCCTCCCTCCCTGCCTCCCTTCTTCCCACTCTCTCTTCTTTCTATCTCCAGGGCTGAGGGTTCTGTCAGCTTGTCTGAATACGTAGGGTTTACTGCTTAGGATTTTTAGCGTTGAGAATTAATTAGGGTTTAGGGTCTGGCTCTGTATGCTTCTCCTCGGCGTGACTGGTCAGCGCCACTCGGAGCTTCTTAGGATTTCCGAAGTCGAGCCTAACTCTGCCTTTCTTTCCTGGGATAAGGTGGAGTTGGCGTCGCAATACCCTCTCTCCAAGCCTTCTGACAGTGACAGAGTGCAGTTGGGAGAAGGAGCCCAACACAACACCCTAAACCCTCAAATACATACAGCCCTAATTTACTAAAGCCTCAAAGCCCCCAACGCCCCTAAAGCCCTAAAGCCCCAAAGCCCCCAATGCCCTGCCCTAAACCCTAAACCCCTTCCAGAACCCTTATAGATCCCTGTGAAGGAACCCATAACTCTGCCCTAAACCCCAAACCCCTTATAGAACTCTTATGGATCCCTTTAAAGGAACCCCTAAAGCCTTGCCCTGAACCGGAGTGCGAAAGTTCGAAAGCAGCATCGGCACTCCTTGCCTGCCTCAACTGTCTTTAGGGTTTTCGGCTTAGGGGTTTAGGGTTTATGGTTTAGGGGTTTAGGGTTCAGGGCAAAACCCTAGTCCGACAGTCTGAAATCAACATTGTCAAAGAACCCTGACCCGTAAATTCAACCCACATGTCAAGACGATTGTAGAAACCTAAACCCTTAAATCCTCAGCCCTAAACCCGAAACACGAACCCCTTAACCTTAAGACCTAAGCCTTTCCAAGCACTTCGAAGATCTCTGGAAACCTTTCAGGAGCTCTGGCTGGTCTTCGAGAACGAAGGCCGCGGCTGAAGGTTTTAGGGTTGGGTATGAGGCGTTTGGGGTCTTGGGTTTAGGGGTGTTTGCGGTTAGGTGTTCAGGGTTTGGGGGTCAGGGGTTTAGGGTTTGGGGTTTGCGGATTGGGGGGTTAAGGGTCTAGGGGTAAGGGTTTGGGGAAGGGTTTAGGTTTTAGGGTTTAGGGGTAAGGGTGTGGGGTTTAGGGGTTCAGGGTTGAGGGTGTAGGGTTTAGGGTTCTGAAGTCCAAGTCTTCTCCTATGATCCGTGGGAGAGATTGCAAGACATCTTATATCGACAGGAAACAAGTTTGCAGAATAGTTTGCCAGGATTCTGGCAGCTACCATATATGGATAGAAACCCAGAAAGATGGATAGTCACGGTCTTGTCAAAGGATTTCTTTGGCGTTTTTTTCTAGTGTGCCACAGTCAGAACATCAGAAGTATCAGAAGGGAGTCCTTAGTTTCAAAGGCCCTGAACCCCAATCGTGCGGGGCGTGCCCTGAGTCCTGAGCTCTAAATCAGAGGCATGTAGCCCTCGACGTGTTGGTCGGACACCATGAACCCTGAACCCTAAACTACTAAACCCCTAAACCTGAAACGCCTAAACCCGAAACCCCTACTAAGAACTCCAGAAAGTTGGAATATGGTTTCATGGTAGGATACCCTATAATTTACCATAGAAGGGTTAGGATAATCATATTCCAACTTTCTGGCTTCTACCTTAAGCCCCAAACCCTAAGCCCTTAAACATCCTTAAGCCCTCTGCTAGGCTTTTCGCTGACCCACTTCCTTTTCAAGACCCAGCCGGGATCGCAGGCCGGGGTGTTTGAGCTCAGGGAGTGAATTTGGGATCATTTACGGTTCCAAGGAATCAGGGTTTAGGGTTTAGGAATCCCTCAAGGGAACCCTAAACCCGAGCCACCAGAATGATGCTGCCTTCCATTTTTTTGTAGCCCGTGGTGTTCAAAGTTGAGGGGTTTAGGGTTTTAGGACTTAGAACCCACGGTTTAGGATGGTTCAATTCGCGGTTGTTGCTGCTTGGTTGAGGTCCGTGGAAGTTTCAGCATTCGGTAGCGCATCGCGCAGACGGTCGAGCCTTTCCAAACCCAACCAAACCCTGTCCCAAATGATCCATAGGACCCAAGAATTGGGTATCTGGGTTTAGGATAATA